GTTTGTGCTATTTTGGGATGAATACAGAATGAACATTCAAGTCCATAAATGGGACAAACAAGATGAGAGGGAAAAATATTCATAATTGAAACAGTTAAAACAGTAAAATTCTGTTCTAATGATACAATGGACTGTGAACTCATTTTGTATTAATTAAACTCAACGTAATGGCATTTTCTATATTGAAATGAATAACCAGTGATCTGGAAATTCATTTAGACCATTAGGTTAATTACAGAAACCAATGGAAGTTTTATCAGACAATTACAATTAAAGAACACGAACAATGTGGGACAGATTTATAAGCATTTGTACCACCTCGGTCATTTTTGCTGAATGTACCATCACTCCTTCCAAAATTGTAATCAATATATCAATTAAAAAATGGGCCATCAACTTCGTTTGCCCTTGAGTATGATAAAATAAAATAAATTAATATCGGATTTCTGCTTTTTAATATTTTTCTTCTTTTCATTCTCTCACTTGATTGCAGTATGAAAGATTTATTTAGGAGCTGATACTTACTGAAGATGAAACATCTCTAACATTTAGAAAATCTAAGCCAAAATGGACTTCAGTTTAAAATGTACTCATTGAAATCAAGGCAAAATTCTCTTTTATGGACATGCCAAACATTTGGGAAATAGAGGCATCCATCTGTGTATCATTCTGAACAAAGGCATGGAGCAACTAGAAGTATTTTACCTTCCACCTTAGCCACTCAGCCCACTGAGCTGTCCCTGTAATATATGCTCAAGAAAATCCACTAGTAGCTACATACCTGACAACTCAAGTATCTTGACGCTTACCCAGAGCTAAAATAAAGCCTAAAAGTTTCAAAGATCAAAGTTCTGATTTAGAGAGTAAAAAATATTTAGCTGCCTTTGAACTTCCCTTTAAATTTTAAATTCCATCTCCCTCCTGTTGCCTTCCATGGGACCTGGGCACTCAGAGCTGTACATTTCTGTGCTGCACAGCTCTAGGTTGGCTGCTTGGCCACACCAACGAGGGCTTAGCAAGCCTGGGAGTGTTGGATAGCTCATCCAGAGCACAAAGAAGATTCCTCCTAACAGGTACATCTCTTTTTCCATCCCCTGCCATAGGGGGACAGGGGAGGTTATCAAGATACAGAGTCAGGCTCTTCACAAAGGCACGTGCTGGGAAACAAGAGACAACAAACATGTCTTGCAAGAGATGTTTCCACTGTTAGGACATTGAAGCATTGGAACAGATGACCCAGGAAGGTTGTGTGATCTCCATCCTTAGAGGTTCTTCCAACCTGAATTACTCTACAATTCTACAACTTCATGTCTTCCTTTTTTTCCATACTTTGGCTCTCGTGAACTTCTACTTCATTCACATTTTCAGGCACTTCTACATGATAGAAAAATGGGGAAAATAGGCACAAAACAGTTTTTAAAAGTCCTTGCATAAATTCAGAGTGGCATTTTTGCCTTTTTGAACCATACATACCGAGCTATGGTACTGTCCTTGGCAGAACAGTCATACAGACATTCAGGGACAGAACTTTTTTCTTCCTTTGAATCTTCCTTTTGTCCAGCAGGGTCTTAATATTCTCATGGATCCTAATCATGTGTGGCTTCAATTTGGAAAAGTTCCAAAATTATTCTTGATACATTTCTTATTTACCAGTAGAGATAAATTTCTTCAGGATTTTAAAATTTCCTGTGGAAGCAACTAGTCTAAAGAAGTGAGGGCAAAAAGAGACTGTCAGTTATGTGCAGCCAAACTGTTTCATTCAGTAAGTTTCAGTGAGACATCATGGGCCTCCAGGAAGCTTCCAGTGAATGCTTACTCACTAGGATTTGGTGTACTCTAATCATTCCTTGCTGGATATAACTCCTTCCAATACTTGTCTACATTCTGCATTAAGATAGTGATGAAGGATTTAACTGAAATCTGTGGTATCAGTTCTGTCCTCCAGATGCCAATACTATAGGATTCTACAGCAGCCAAGGTGAGACCAAGAGTTTCCTGACTGTTGTTGTCTCAGTAAGTCAAAGAACCTGTCCCACCAAGGGATATGAACATATTGGCATGCTGTAACTCTGCTTTCTACATAACAAATTATCTATTCCCAGGATAGATGTGCAAATGAAAAACTGATCCAGGTCCCATCCTCTGCTTCAGCATCAGAGAACAGATGAGGCATGAGAGACTATTGCTACTGATTTGTTCCACTGCTTGCAGAAGAAACAGCTCATTTCTTTCTGTATTATGCGAAGGGCCAGAAGTGATGGAAGGAAGCAGAGCCATGTTTCCACCTCCTGACATATTCAGAGGTGTAACTAATCACTGTACAGGGAAATGTACAGTATGAGACATAA